CTCTGATCACCACCGGTTTCGTCAAGGGTTTGATCACCCGTGGTATCTACCAGGAGGCTTTGGAATGGGCTCGATCCGTCGCGGATGAAGCTCGTGCCAAGGCCATGAGTGAGATTGCAACTATTGCTGCCGACAAGGGTGATACAGATACCGCTGTCGCAGCCTACAGTGCCATGCCTCCTTACGCGGACGATTTGATCACTCCCGCCACCGCTCTCCTCGCTATGAATGTCCGTCAGACCGATGTTGTTGGTGCCTCCAAGTACTGGCAAGTTCTATGCAACCCCGGTGTGCAGGTGGATCTTACTTTCATCGAGCCTACAGCTATGTATGCTGTGGCCATGATTGGCTCTGGCCAAGTTGCCGAGGGACTGGCACAGTCCGAGATGATGTTCCAGCGTATCCGTGCCTCTGTTTCTCAGACTCAACCTCATCTTGTCGAGGAGGTCGATGAGGGAGTCGAATTCGTCACTCGATTTATGGAGACTCGTGGCATCCCCGATCCCCGCGAGATTGCTTCTCAAGTTGCCAGCTTCCAGCCTATGACCGCTTCTCCTTATCTGTCGACTCCTGCAGTTTCCACCTTCGAGGATACCTACGACCCTTACGCCCACAACACCGACTTCAAGGGATCCTCCCTTATTGCGGACGATCTTGAGGGTAACCATGGCCGCAAGGGACCTCGTCTTAGTGAGGCACTGAACCGATTCCGGAACATTCGACGTGCTGGCCGACATCCTCGCTACATTACCTATGCCAAGCTTATTTCTGCTGCTGCTCGGGATGGCAAGTTCGATCTCTGCCATGACATTCTCAGCATGGCTCGCACTGATATGCCTATCATGCCCCAGTATGCTGTTGTTCGCTATGGATGGTCTAGCATTCTTGACGCCATGGTCGGCGCTTGTTTGACCGTGGGTAACCGTGGGCGAGCTGAACAATTTCACCAGGAGCTGTTGGAAATCGGCGCCAGCCCTTCTGCCAACACTTTTGGTCTCTACATCACCACGCTCAAGGATTCGACTAGGACTTTTGACGAGGCTTCCGAGGCTGTCCGTATCTTTCACCGGGCGAAGGCTGAAGGTGTCGAACCCAGCTCATTCTTGTATAACGCTCTCATTGGTAAGCTCGGAAAGGCTCGCCGCATCGATGACTGCCTTTTCTACTTTGCTGAGATGAGAGCTCTTGGAATCAAACCTACGTCGGTCACCTATGGTACCATTGTCAATGCACTCTGCCGAGTCAGTGATGAGAAGTTTGCCGAAACACTGTTTGATGAGATGGAGGCGATGCCCAACTACAAGGCTCGTCCTGCTCCTTACAACAGTATGATGCAATTCTTCCTGACCACAAAGCGAGATAAGACAAAGGTTCTGGCTTACTACGAACGCATGAAGGCCAAGGGCATTGCCCCTACCGCCCATACCTATAAGCTCCTGGTCGATACTCACGCTACCCTTGATCCTGTTGACATGGACGCTGCCGAGGAGGTTCTCGGTATGATTCGTGCCTCTGGTCAACGCGTCGAACCTGTTCACTATGCTTCCCTCATTCACGCCAGGGGATGTGTTCTCCACGACATGGAAGGTGCCATGAAGATGTTTGATTCTGTTGTCAAGGAGTCTCTTGTTCCCATCAGTGCCAGTTTGTATCAGGCTCTGTTTGAGGCCATGGTTGCCAATCACCAGGTTGCTGCTTCTGAGCCTGTGCTTGCTCACATGCGAAGCAAGGGTGTGGAACTAACCCCTTACATCGCCAACACTTTGATTCATGGCTGGGCTGCTGAGAAGAAGATTGAGAAAGCTCAAGGTATCTACGATGCTGTTGGCCGAGAGAAGCGCGAACCTAGCACATACGAGGCTATGACCCGAGCTTATCTGGCTGTTGAGCAGCGAGAGGAGGCCAAGGGTGTTGTCGGTGAGATGCTCACCCGCGGTTACCCCAGTGCTGTCGTCAACAAGGTCCTGGAGCTTCTTGGCGGAGGACATGATGCTTCAGAGTAGACGACTGTTACGACGTGGGATTCGTGATGAGAGTGTGGTAATGTTCTTTTGATGTTGGCGTAATTTGTTTGATACCCTATTGTACTGGTTGGAAGGCGGGATTGGGTTGGTTGGGTTGGTTTGGCTGGGTTGGGCTGGTTGTCTTTATACAGGGACGGCATTTTGACGAAGTGTCAGACTCGAGAGGTTTTGGATCTTCTTGGGCCCTGGAAAGGGACGGCGTTTGGGAATCAAAATGGGACTTACGTGGAGCGTTTGCCTCTGAATGATTGAGTTTAGGGGCCGAACGTTCCCTGGATAGATCATCACCACTCCAAGAAAGGGAAATCATTATATTACATTATATTTCAGCAGCATAGAGGGACCAAAAGAGCCAGGGAACAGGGCAAGCTGGGAGGAGAGAGGAAGGCCAAGAAGAGAATTGGTCAAGGAAAAGCAGAGCATGTGGTCCTGCTGCTTGTACCACCAATACAATACAAGAAACCAAGAAATGACAATTTTGTCATCAAACAGAGCTGTCCTTGTTGTGATGCGATTTGAGCTTCTGAAGTTTTGATGGTTGTGCCCAAGGATGCCATATCCTAACGGGGATGAGGCTTCTATGACTTGATTGCATGACGTCTAATTGGCATCATCACGATACTGTTGGTGTTGACTAGACCCGAGCAGTTTTGGTTGAAACTCTGGTGAACTCTTGTAATTGGGTGATTGACTGCCGTGTGGCTATGAATAAGGTAGATTACAGTGTTAAAGTCACATGCACTGTACAGCCTAGAAATGAGGCCCCGCTGGAGTTTAATGATTCTTCTCGTCTGTTGGGTTGCGTTGCTCATGCATTTCAAGTAGCGAAGGAGCTTACTCACGACTGATTGAGAGAGTGACTTTTTTCCGTTCTCTGTTGTTCAACAAAACCGCCTGAATATTTATCGTTTCTCATCTTCTGACCATTTAAGACTTCTTATATAAATATCACATATACAATGTCCCTCCACCACCCCACCATCGCTGTCTCAGCTCCCGGCAAGGTCTTCCTCGCTGGCGGATACCTCGTACTGGACCAGGAGTACACGGCGTTTGTATTCGGCCTCGACGCTCGTATCAATATTATTGCTGGAGACATTCACACGACTGCTGGCGTTCAGCTCACTGAGATTGTGGTTGACAGTCCGCAATTCCTCGAGGCACAATGGCGGTATGGCTATCACCTGGCTGGTGAGGGAGGTGGTATCAAAGTTACCCAGTTGCAGGTGTAAGTAACTTTTTCTTCATATGAATGAGTGAATAATGTGAGGCTATGTCCCCGTTGATGAAACTGGATGAGTTGTTAGTCCTCAAAGCCATTGGAGTTCATAATGGGTTGGATGACAATCATCACATAAGCAAGGCCAATCATGAACTTCTCACAGGCAACTCTGTCATATACGCAATTACTTCATCTTACTCACTCATCAGTAGCGGAGCACAAATCAACCCCAACCCTTTCGTGGAGACAACTCTCAGCTATGCACTCACCTATATCGACCGAGTGGCCAAGCACCGTCCTAGCCATAGCATGGCATCTGCTCGCCTCATCATCCTCGCAGATAATGATTACTACTCGCACTCTGAATCCGAGAGCACACGTCAAGGGCGATTTGCCAAGTTTCCCGTGACCTTAGGAGATGCCAACAAGACAGGTCTTGGCTCATCTGCTGCTCTCGTCACTTCACTCACTGCTGCCCTGCTGGCTCACTACCTGCCAGAAGACCTCTTCAACATTCAGTCTGATCCGGGCAAGAGGGCGCTCCACAACTTGGCTCAGGCTGCCCATTGTGCTGCGCAAGGTAAGGTCGGTTCGGGATTCGACGTTGCAACCGCTGTCTACGGATCTTGCAGATACAGGCGCTTCTCTCCCGAGACACTGTCTTCAATTCCCGAGCCCGGTGCGGCCGGATTCGCAGACGCATTGGTCAAGCTCGTCGACGGCGAGTCTGCTTGGGATGTAGAGGTTCTCAAGGATGCAGTCATCATGCCCAAGGGTGTTGTTCTGCGTATGTGTGATGTGGACTGTGGAAGCAAGACGGTTGGCATGGTCAAGAAGGTCCTCAAGTGGAGGTCATCAAACCCAGAAGAGTCAAAAAAGCTTTGGGATGAGCTCCAGAAGCGCAATGAGCAGTTGATTGCAACTCTCAATGCCGGCGACGTCGAGAATCTGCCGGTGAAGATTACAGCTGTTCGAGAGATGATTAGACGAATGGGTAGCGCTAGCGACGTCCCCATTGAGCCCGAAAGCCAGACAGAGCTCCTCGACGCCCTCAGCACCGTCGAAGGGGTCTACGGCGGTGTCGTCCCCGGTGCGGGCGGCTACGATGCCCTGGCTCTCCTGATGAAAGATGATGAGGAGACAAAGCAACGAGTTGAGGAGTTCCTGGACAAGTGGGCCAAGGAGAAGGGTACAAAGGTCAAGCTACTAGGCGTCAAGGGGGAGATGGAGGGAGTTCGCTCCGAGAGTCTGGACGTTTACGCCGGTTGGATCTAAAAGGTTAGCAGTAATCTAGAATATACGGTAGTAGCGAGAAGCGAGGATGGACGCATGCGTGCATGCATGCATGTCTTAGACCTTGAAATGAAACAACATGTCACTCTCCCCGTCAACTACATTGTTCCGTTCACATTCCTAAGAGACACTGGTACAGCTTAGCACAGAACCCTTAATTTTAGGGGTATCAGCGGGAGAAGTTGAGAGCAGTAATGTCGGTGAAAGAATTAATCAGATTAGATTACGCCGGGTATGATGATATTCTGTAATGTTGCCGTTCCCGTGGTTCCGTAGATGCCCAACTCCCCCATGATCCGCCCAATTTCGTTACCATTCCTATCCAATCCATCCTGTGTGTATCGTACAATTGCTCCTTTCCATAGACCCAAGCCAGTGTTGTGTTTCCTTTCTTAAGACGCCCCTGATAAAACCTCTAATAGCGGCAAAAAACAATAGTAATGATAAATGTCCATACTCGATTAGTTGAGGCTGTCGGTGGACGAGAGAGAAGTGGATGTTGGAACAGTCTTGATGGGTGGTCGGACTGGATGGGAGAAGAGGCTCGAGGTTGAGCAGGGTGAGCGAGGGGCGGTAGGACTGGGAGGGTCTGCGATGCCGATTCGACTGGCGGCGGCTTGTTCTCGAAGCATAGAGAGTCTTTGTATTGTTAATTATCAATCTTGTAGTGGTTGAAGAAGTATTGACTTACTGCTCCTCTGAGACTCCTGGGAGGTTGACTGGGTTCTTTTCGAAGCCAAAAGGTGCAGACTGAAAGATAAATGGTTAGTCAGGAACATGACAGTGAATGGTGTAGACATACAATCTCCATGTGACGTTTCTCCTTACGGCGTCGTTGGCGAACCATTGTTTGGACACGCTCGCAAAGCGTCTGGAAGTCGTCCGAGATATGCATCTTTGAAGATCGAAGTCGATTCAAGGGAAGATTAAAGCACCGAGGATCACGTCTCTCGGAAGGATAAACAGCAGCGGATCCCATCAAGTCGACTTTTAGGGTTGAAGGGCTTCTTATATAGAAAGAAGCCTTAAAAAAGGGTGGTTGGTTTGAAGTTGTAGTTGTGAGTGAGTGAGTATGTGGAGAGTTGTTCTAGAGTTGGGGAAGAAGCAAGATAGGAACGAGGCAAGCTGAGATGAGATTTAAAAGAAGGGTTGGGAGACAAGAGGCTGACTGAAAAAGGTACGAGATTGGAATTCTTGTATGAGAGAGAGGAAAAGGCGGGAAATTAAAAAAGAAGCCTCGTTTTTTTCTTTAAATTCACGGTCTAGAGGAGGACAAAGAAGTGGATGTCAGATGGGGAAAAGGCATGTGGCTCTTTTTGGACTGTAGTGGTGGTGGTGTAGTAGAGTGAGTGAGTGGTTGGTGGAGTTTAACTCTGGTATGTTTTTGATACAAAGAGGATGATCCGAGTCTCAGGTACGAAGAGAAAGTTGAGGTATGTAGATAAGATGGGGGGAGAGGAGGTTGAGAGGAGAGAATGTGTGTATAAGTGAAAGACAGAGACAGTCAGTCAGTCAGTCTGGAGGTTGGTCTATAATAAGCCTCACACTCACAGCACAAGACAGGACAGATGATGAAGGAAAGGAATGTGATGGTTAGAGTAGATATAACTGCACGAGAACGGAACAAGAGATTAGGAACAGGAGGATATGTACATATGTATTAATTAAATATACGAGACTGAACAAAGGGCAACAAAAAAAAAGGAAGAAAATTAGGTTAGCAAGTAGGTATCCAAGAGATGACTGCAGAGACGCAGACGCAGATGCAGACAACACATGCAACACAACGCACACTTGCATGCACGCACACGCACGCACGCAAGGACAGTGAGTGGAGAGTGAAAACAGGCAAATCAGCAGTGACAGACTGCCCTGAACCGTCTAAGCGCCAGGGGTCAACGCTACGCTGACGTTTTCTTCTGGAATGTATCCAAGTCACTGGAATTCCAGCGTCTCGGGTCCTGTGTAAACCCGCCACCAACAACTTTCACGCTCACGTATTAGACCACCTAAAGGTTCAGCACCTAATTTTGGGGGCGAGGGGAGGAGGGTCCATTGGATCCATGTCTCAGCTGAACGACACTTCATGGTGCGACGGGAGAGCAGAGCAGAAAAAAAGGGCCGCAAGGAGAACTCAACTTGGGAGACTATACATAGTAGAGACGATAAAAAGTGCACGGTTACAATTATCATATCCTTTGTGTGGGATTTATTGCCTCTGATGAAATTACGTCCATGTACAAGGGGTCGAATATCATATACTCAATGCCTCTCCCGTGGCGCCCTAAGCCCAAGCCCAAGCCTAATCTCGTGTAACAGCAACAAAGGGAGGCGGGAAAGGTTCGCCAACTCAATCCAGGGCGAGGAAATAAACGGTTATTGAATAGCTTCAACAGTCTCGTCCTCCATCACCGAGTTAGTCACTTCACCACCAGTGACTAGGTAATTAATCAATCGTGTAAGGCCACGTAGTGTCAGTTGTCGCAGATTGTTCTACTCACCGCAGAGATTGCCGAATGCAGCAATCCCTCATCAACTTCACATTCCCCAGAACGACCAAAACTTGCCTCTTCTTGTCTTGGTCGCCCGTTATCGAAAACGTCTCGTCTCACCCGCTTCTGCCCTGCCCTGCCCTGCCCTGCCCGCCTCGCCAGGGGAGACACTTCCTAGAGACAGTCGCTAAGAGAAATGATGTGCACTCAATCCACAGTACTCCGTTCTTAATCATGGCAGTATCAGATTGTTTGCAGCGAGCGAGTGTTTGATTCATGTCGACACAGACCGTCGTCTCATCATTCAGAGTCAGTCAGTCTACCTTGACCGGGTTTGGCGGTCAACAATAGCGACCTCTCTATCTAGTTTAGTTTGGGTAGTCCTTCAGGTGGTAGCTCTTGAGCTTCACAAACTGATCAAATCCAAACTTGCTAAGCGTCTGTCCCTTGCCCGAGTTCTTCCAGCCAGTCCATGCCAGATCCTATTGTCGGCCAGTCAGTAAGTAATCCCCCACGTAATGCAGAGACCCTTTGTGCTTGGATCAGAAAAACGTACCGGTGCCGGATAATCGCATCTGTTGACAAATACAGTGCCGGCTTCCACATCCTCGGCAAGCTCGTATCCTTTGTCTGTGTCCTTGGTCCAGATGCTGGCTGTCAGACCAAACTCGCTGTCGTTCATGTACTCGACAGCCTCACTGTCATCCTTGACCTTCATAACAGGAACTACATCTCTCGTCAGCAGAACGTCTTCAACTGTTGTCGGGAATCTTTACTAATTGGGGCAAACGACTCCTCGGTCATGACCCGCATGCTGTGGTTGACGCCGGTCAGAAGGGTGGGTTTCACAAAGTTACCCTTGGTAGGAGGGTTGCTGAAAGTCTCGTTTTCGGGAGTGGCATCCTTGGCACCGCTGTCGACGGCGTCCTTGACATGTTCCTCGGCAGTCTGCTTTGATCGCTTCGAAACGACAGGTCCCAATTGAGTCTCCTTGTTAAAGGGATCACCGAGCTTGTAGCTCTTGAGCACCTTTTGCACGGCCTCAACAAACTGATCGTGAATCTTCTCATCAACATACACCCGCTCGATAGAGCAGCAGCTCTGGCCAGAGTTGAAGATGGCACCGTCAACAATCTCTGCAGCAGCCCAATCAACATCGACGTCTGATCGAACATATGCTGGGTCCTTGCCACCCAACTCCAGACCGACATTTACAATGCGGTCAGACGCAGCTTGTTGCACAGCGAGACCTCCGGCGACAGAGCCGGTGAAACAAACTAGGGCGATCTTGGGATCGCGCACAATGGTCTCCATAAGAGTGGGAGAGCCGCAGTGGAAGTACTGGCAAACGCCATCAGGCAAGCCCGCCTCCTTTAGGAGATCGGTAACCCGTTCCACGATGGTAGGTGTCTGAGGTGAGGGCTTGAGGATTACACTGCAGCCTGCAAGAAGAGCGGGAATGAGAGAGTTGACCAGAATAAGGTAAGGGTACTGTCCAGAGTCAGCAAAGGATGCTTCTGGTCCAGCGAAACGAGGCGAGGCCAGCACTTACGTTCCACGCAAAGATGATGAGTACAGGTCCGACAGGGACCTTTCGGATGAAACGCTTGAAGCCCTTCTCGGGCTCGCCGTCGGTGTCCTTGAGGGCCTCATCACTAATCTTGAGGAGGTATTCACCTCTCTTGACAGCTGTGGCGACCTCGCCTGGTGTGTAAGAGATGGGGCGGCCCATCTGAACAGTCAACTCTTCACCGAGCTCATCCTTCTTAGCCAAGAGGCCATCGAGGAACTTGCGAACAATAGCTTGACGCTCCTTCAACGTTGTCTTGCGATAGCTCTGGAAAGCCTCAGTGGCGACCTTGGGGAGAGACTCAAGGTCAGCTTGAGAGACGCCATTCCTGGTGAGGATGGGCTCGTTTGTGTTTGGAGAGATTGTGGTGATGACTTCCAGAGACATTGTGGGGTATAATTAGGTATGTGTGAGGAAGAGAGTAAGATTGTAGTGACAGATCGTGGACGAGATGATATCTTTGTAGCTGGCCACTTTTTTGAAGTTGCAAGTGGAGTATATGAGATGGTCATGAGTGTAGGTACTGTACTGTACGTGTACTTGTACTTTCTATCGTCCATGACGGACGGCGGTTGGCGGCTCGCGGCTCGCGGCTCGCGGTGCTTCAGTTGCCCCACGTATTGGATACCAACCTCAACCAACTTAACCCGAACTCGGCGGCTTCAACCCCGCTACAATTTGATAAGGCATGATAATTTAATTGGGAATATCTAGTGATCCCATGATACTCTCAAGATACCATTAAGTCTATCCTGATTCTCAAGAACGGTCATGATTATAGCTACATTAAGTCCCATGATAAGGCTTTGTTTCAAAGAAGCTTAGGGTACAGAGGTATTAGATGTCAAGTCCATTGAGGTGAACGTTCTAAGTCAATTCGACTACCGTATGGAGTCACACTCTGTACTGGACACTCGGAGGTCATATCAAGCATCGTGCCTCCAGAAATACCACGCCTTTACATAGCATTGTACTATTTCTCGAACAACCTGGAATTCTTCCCCAAAGAAGCCTCTTATCAGTGACGTCGTTGGCTACCTCTCCAAGTCACATGATCTTCTCCAACTCAAATACAGATCCCTGCAGTCTAGCGTGCCGACAGCTTATCTTATCAGCAAGGGACTACTTTTTTTTGACATTGGATTCTCCAGCCTCACATTAGATACAGCTCAAGCTCAGTGCTGCCAATCGCATTCATTATGGCACCCGAAACCAAAAACGACTTTCTTGATACGGCCGACAGCGATGAGGAGAACGATGTTGGCTACAATTCTGAGGACGATGATATGAGAAAGGGTGGTCGAGGTGCCAAGCGACGGAAACTCGACTCGGACGACGAAGATAATCTGGGTAGCGATATCGAGCGCGATGCCAGCGATGACGAGGATGAGCTGGCTGAAAAGGATACAGAGAAAACAGAAAAGGAAGATAAGAAAGAAGACAGACCGGAAAAGCCAAAGCACAAGTTAAAAGACACAACTTCGACAGAGCTGCCCGATGTCACAAGAACATTGACAAAGAAGAACCTCGTCGCCTCCGAAGCCGCCATCAAGAAGTCAGGTGTCGTCTACCTCTCCCGTATACCACCTTTCATGAAGCCCGCCAAGCTGCGCTCTCTCCTCGAACCCTACGGAACCATCAATCGCATCTTCCTCGCCCCCGAGGACCCAGCCTCACATGCCCGTCGCGTTCGCGCTGGCGGTAACAAGAAGAAATCTTATACTGAAGGATGGGTCGAGTTCACAAAAAAGAAGGACGCCAAGGCTGTATGCGATCTTCTCAACGCGCGCACCATCGGCGGCAAGAAGGGCAGCTACTACCACGACGATTTATGGAATCTTCTATACCTCAAGGGGTTCAAGTGGCACAACCTCACAGAGCAAATCGCTGCTGAGAACGCTGAGCGCGCTAGCCGCATGAGAGCCGAGATCAGCAAGTCGACAAAGGAGAACAAGGAGTTTGTCAGGAACGTGGAGAAGGCAAAGATGCTGGACGGCATGGAAGCCAAGGCAAAGGCCAAGAAGAGGAAGGCAGATGGCGAGGGAGAGGGAGCGGGAGAGGACTCGGTGCGACAAGTCAAGAGATCGTTCAAGCAAGTTCCTCTGGCGAAGAAGAAGACGGAAGTGGAAGATCAACCAGCCGAGGTGACGAGGGTACTGAGCAAGATTTTCTGATCTGTATAGCCATTATTTTGTTTTGCATTTTTGTCTATAATACCTGATTTGATCAAAACCACGACTTTTGAAGATATAGAATTCATTCAAGGCATGATAGGCATCCAATGATCGGCATGACCAACTCATGGAGCCAAGTGGACCCTGAACTTTATGACTCTGAGCAAAGAATGCCACTCGACTTGCCATTTCCAATTTTTGCCCCGCGCCTGCAAAAAAATATCCTTTCTGCCCACCGATAAGCGCTTATCAAGCGGCGGCGAACCGAATTCTCCCACTCTAGGATTTCTGAGAGTCACTGAACATCATTCATTTCCACCCAAACAACACCATCAAATTTCACACGACATCGTTGCCCAACATGTCGATGGATCTGGATGACCAGCCTATCTCTATAGCCCCTGCCACTCAGCAGCAGGGCGCTGCTACGTGAGTCCTGATCTTCTTTTTACCACCCCGCACTCGTTCTGTCTCTTGGGCGCAATACTAACTTGAGCCTCTTCAGTATTCTCTGCTGCAACTGCGGTGCCCCGATCGATGGAACCGCCTCCAGCGGCGCTCTCTGCTACGACTGTATCAAGCTTACCGTCGACATTTCCCAAGGTGTGCAGCGAGAGGCGACGCTCAACTTCTGCCGAGATTGCGACCGATGGCTCATGCCCCCCAACAGCTGGATCGTTGCCGCCCCCGAATCCCGCGAATTGTTAGCCATGTGCCTCAAGAAACTTCGAGGTTTGAACAAAGTCCGTATCGTGGACGCGAGCTTTATCTGGACTGAGCCTCACTCGCGACGAGTAAAGGTCAAGATCACAATCCAGGATTCCGTCCAAGATGGTATGCTGCTTCAACAGAGTTTCGAGGTTGTCTATGTGGTGGCGTACCAGCAGTGCCCTGAGTGTGCCAAGTCGTACACTGCCAACGTTTGGCGAGCTGCTGTTCAAGTTCGTCAAAAGGTCCTTCACAAGCGAACTTTCCTCTTCCTCGAGCAGCTTATTATGAAGCACGGCGCACACAAAGATACACTCAACATTCGGGAGGCCAAGGATGGCATCGACTTCTTCTTCGCCCAAAAGAACCAGGCCGAGAAGTTCATCGACTTCCTCAACTCTGTGGTGCCTGTCAAGGTGAAGGCGTCGCAGGAGCTCATCTCTCACGATACCCACACCTCCAAGTCCTCGTACAAGTTCACATATTCGGCCGAGCTGGTGCCTATATGTAAGGACGACTTGGTCGCTCTGCCTATCAAGATGGCCAAGCAGAGCGGCAACATCTCACCTCTCCTCCTCTGCCACAAGATCGGTACCTCTGTGTACCTGTTGGACCCTCAGACTCTTCAGACTTGCGATATCAGCTCACCCATCTATTGGCGAGCTCCTTTCCTATCTCTCACTGATACACATGAACTCGTTGAGTTCATTGTCATGGATATCGACCGCACAGCAACCCAGAAAGGCAAGTGGACGCTTGCCGAAGCCACAGTCGCTCGTGCCTCAGATCTTGGCTCAAATGACCGAACATACTTCACAAGGACTCATTTGGGTCGACTCCTCCAGCCCGGTGATTCTGCTATGGGTTACCTGCTGGCCGGGACCGTTTTCAACAACACCGAATACGAGAAGATCGAGAGCTCCAACACATACTCATCGAGAATCCCTGACGTGGTGCTAGTCAAGAAGCACTATCCCCGTCGCAGAAAGAACCGCAAGAGAAACTGGCAGCTCAAGCGTATGGACAAGGACGAGGGCGAGCTTCTTCCCAAGAAGGCAGACCAAGAACGCTTGGATCAAGAGTACGAGCAGTTCTTGCGAGATGTCGAGGAAGACGAGGAGCTCCGTGCTACGCTCGCCTTGTATAAGGCTAAGAAGAGAGCCGAGGAGGAGATGAGTGTGGCTGAGACCGAGGAGGACGATGAGGCACCTCACGTTGATATGAATGAGTTGCTGGATGACTTTGATGAGCTTACAATGGAGGATCGGCCAATGCAAGAATAGGGCTTACATGAATGAAAAGAACTGATTTGATTTCCAAGCAATAAGGCCCTGTAGGGCCACTGTCGAGATTTCGTGATAGTGAATGTGCTCAGAGGAATGAAGGGATATCGTCGAGTGATGGTTTAGAGGCTGTTTTCTCTTCTGGTTTGCGGAACTGTTCCCTTGACTTTTGGCGTTGAATCCTTCGTTTGTTGATCCCAAAAGGATCGTCGTCGTCGATGTCTTCTTGAGTATCTCGGCTTTTGCTTATCTTACGTGCTTCGCTTCCTCCAGGTGCTGTTGTTGGTCGCTTGACGCTAGAGCCCGGCCGCGAAGTTGTGTTCATAGCTGACTTCAGTGAGCGAGGAGTACTAAATGCTGTCCGTGGAGTTGACCGTGGCATTGCTGAACTAGATGTATGGGCCGTGCGTGCTGCCTTCGTAGCCGTAATGCGTAAGGGCGAAGCTAAATCCAAGTCATCTCCATCGTCAGTCTCATCGTCATCACCCAGAGGGATGTGCCTCTTCTTTGCTGGAGTTGAACTGGATCCTTGATTTAATCGTAGCGGGCTAATCTTTTGTGAATTGAAACCCGCCGAAGCTCTCGTTGCAGCGGTATCAGCTAGACCTATTGCTGATATCCACTTGTGCTCCTTTCTGGGACTCTCCATGAGACCTTGCAGACTTGACCCTACGTAAGGGGAATCCTTCTTCTCGTTTGAGTTAGTACCCAAGAGCTTGCGCTGTTTGATGTTGCGGCGCACGTCCTCCTGACGATGTCTTGTGAGGAGGGTTGGCGCGCCGACTACAGGCCTTTCAATCTCACGGATTGTGTCTGCGTTTTGGTGTTTAGCCAAATTCTTCAAACGGTTGTATTCAGAAGTATGAATGTGAAGTGTGAATTGGTGAGCCATGTTGACGAACTCGTCTTCCACTATACGATATCGGTCATCGTGGTCGAGGCCTGGTCTCATGAATCTGAGTCTGGTTAGTATTTAGGTATGAGTGTGAGTTTAGGAGTGAGATGAACCTTTCTTTAGGCGGCTCTGGTGGAGGCGAGGTTGAGGGACTGCGTGTGGCATCTGCATGATATTGTCGGTTTCTTTGCCATTTTGATGAAAGTGTTGAGTTTGGAATACCTTCTGCCTCTATCACGCGCTCGCGACGCGGTTTCTTACGGGAAGCTGAGGGTGTACTCGGACGGGGCGCTCGTGAAGGTGTGGGTAGTGGACTCTCCGACTTGA